CCCGAGTCGAGATACGACCGCGTCCGCTGGCGACCGGATGGGCGCGAGAGAGTAACAGCGCGTGCCCAACTGAACCCCCCCGACCTCCGACCTCTCTTCTATCGCTACATCCCCACACCCTTCCTCCTTCCCCAAAACCCCGCCTACGCCTGCCTTATTTTAGATATTCGTCCCGTGATCGGCCTCACGTATTCCACGCTCGCTCGGTGGGATGGATATTCGGGCGGTCATGCCTTGTTACGCCGCTCCTTTCCCCACTGGTGCATGAGCTCCTCCTCATGGTCGAGGGACTCAGTATCAATTAGGACCCGAAGGTCTTCAAACGTTTTCGGGCCAGAACCTTGCTGAATACCGGAAAATCGTGGGATCGTCTCGATACTAGCCAACATCGATGAAGTTTCTGGTGCTTTACATCGACGGGCACGTACGCATCCCCGAGTAGGGCTAGTCCCCGTTCTCCTCTGGCGTTGACCTCCTCGATGCTGTAAGAGAGCTCAGCTGGGAATTGTAGTTGGCGCTGCGCCTCGCAGATGGTGTTATATGTCTTCTGCCACAGCGGCAAGGACTCCGGCGGGTCGTCTCCGAGAGCCTGATCATATACGGGCGACCCGGGGTCGGCCCCCTCCTGCAGTGAAGTTAAAAACGACGCCCCTTGAACATAATAAACGCAGATGTCGCGCATCCCTGTCACACAAAAGATTTTTGTCCCACAAAAGGATTCGCGCACCTCACGTCCTTCCGCTGCGCGCTCACGTTCCTGGACAGGGATATGTGATCCTTTAGGCCTTCGAGTAAGATGGAAAAGAGGTAATTTATGACTGAACACAGACATGGATAAACTTCAAAAGATTGATAAAGATGCAGCTCACCGTCAACCATTAGGTTCAGACGGTGCATGCGTTGAGGCATTGGTGCCGCTGCCGTGAACGACTTGCCTTGCGTTATTTTGTCCGTGACAGAGTCATAGGAATAAAAACAAAAGCTGTTTCGTTTCAGTTGATGGAGAATTGAATGTTTTAAGCAGTAAAGTAAAAACATACTAATCAAGATTTGTTAGTACTCCATGTACCCTTTGCACGGCTTTATTATTATTCTACTAGTCGGCTGCGAGGGTTTATGAATTTAGAAGGTTGCTGTAGGCTGCTAAAAAGCGAACTCACAGATCATCTCCATAAAGAGTTGCGCGGCGTGGTCGTTTGTGAGCCTCGTATGTTTGAACTCGGCCACAAAGACCAGAGTCCCGCCGAATGTATACAGCCTAAACATTAGTTAGTTATCAGGTACTCCGGCATGTGTCGGATTATCGTCAACGAACCTGTATTTCTATTCGCCCCCCGCTTGTAACATGAGAGACCGGTAAGAATTCCTCACTGTTGATCCGCCCAGAAAATACAGCAACGACGCCATCGATTGCCTGTTGACTCCGTGTTGGGCGTGAAGATCCAAAAAGAAGTTCAAAACGCACATAATGACCAATGTTCCCAGACCCGCCTCAGTCGCCTGCATCCCTCACGTTGCCGTTCACGTCCATCTTGACCCACCCGTCGAACTTTATCTTTCGATGGACGGCGAAAGGTAGGAGACATAACGGGACCTTGTAGTCCTCCTGGCCTGCTTGTAAAAGAGGATCATACGCGTTGCCGAGCGAGTACAGGCCACATAAGTCATCCCACTTGGCGTCGGAAAACGTGGCCAGTCTGTCCTGCCGCAGACTTTGGAACTTTTGAGCCTCTCGTTCGTCGGATTTGAGCTTGTGGTAGATCAATTGGTCTATGCGATTGTGACGGTCGGCGAGGCCGGCGGTGGTGGGTTTGCCATCGGAGAGTCATAGAAGCATTGGTTCAAGGGCCACCAGAGCGTCTTCGTCAAGTGTAGGAGCCTCAATCCGTGTACGTTTTGACACGCTTAAAAGCAAGTGAAGAAAGCAAATAGGAGTAATACATCGGGAGCAAAGAGTGTGGACGGATCAAAAGACACGACCAAACCGGAGTTCAAAATAAAGTCACCTCCTCGCACCCTCATGCCGCTTTGAACTTGGCCTCTACAATAAACTTGGCTTCCACCATAATCTAGCCTCGTCCATAGGCTTCATTCAACGATGCCCGTGGCGTCTCCCCGGGCCATTTTCGTCGTTCTATTTGCTCTCAATTGCGTCCTCTGGTCATCTAGCCGATATGGCCAAGTCTCGCACAACAGTCTTCTGCATGGAGAGAACAGTCTCGTGAAGCGTATATCTCTCGAGCTCTTAAACTCGAGTACCCCGGACGATGCTGCAGAGGACCAGGTGCGCGCTTCTTGGGAATTTACAGCAATATGTGCTGACGTCTCTCGAGTGTCGGCCGCTTGCATTCCCTACCATCGAGCAGTGCGCCCATGTGCAAGAGCACTGCCATCTACCCCCGACATTCCTAGCCATCCGCTATCTCCCCCACTATTTCTGCACAGAGCCGACGTTAAGACCGCTGGTCTTTACCGCCCTTATCGTTTGGCTTGTATTTTTATTCTCGACGCTCGGCATCAGCGCTTCCGACTTCTTCACTCCAAACCTCGCCACAATTGCTCAGCTGCTCGGTCTGGATGAAAACGTTGCCGGTGTTACATTCTTGGCTTTCGGCAACGGCAGTCCTGACGTCTTCTCCACGTTCTCCGCCATGCGCGCGAACTCGGGAAGTTTAGCAATCGGCGAATTGCTTGGTGCTGCGTCGTTTATCGTCTCCTGCGTGGTCGGCTCCATGTGTATCATAAAGCCATTCCAACTCCGCCAGCCACTGTATTTCCTCCGCGATGTTGGCTTTATGTTCACGGCCGTCTCACTACTACTGGTGATATTGTGGGATGGAAGTATTCGTTTATGGGAGGCCGCCGTGATGATTGCGCTCTACGTTATATATGTAGTCGTCGTCGTCCTTGGAAGTTGGTGGGAAAGAAGATTGGAACGCAGGAGAGCTCATGAGGCCATGGTACGCTCTGAGTACGCCGACTCGGATATCTCGAGTCCATTACAAGAGCGCTACACAGATTATCGTGAGTACACAATTTCTGGCCTGGTCCTGCATCTCACTCTCCCTCAGCGAGCCCCTCGACCTCTCATATGCCAACTCTAGTGGCACCATCCCCGACCCGAGCCCGCGCTATTTCAGCTCCGGGAGCTCCGCCAAGGCTACAGACCGACCTTCCGCCACGCTCTCATTCACGGACGCCCTCGCCGACGCCGTCTCCTGGATTAAGAGCCATGCCATCCTTCTCTCTTGTTGGTGCTTTGGAGTTCCGTCAGGTCGTAGCATCCTTGCAACACGAAGCTGCGGGCTCGTCACTCAATGTCTTCGACAGTCCCTTCACCCCCTATGCAGGTGGCCACTATAATTCACTGCGGTCAAGGTCAAGAACCCTGAGCCGCGAGGTAGACCCTTGGGATGCTGCCCTTGGCTTGCCTCTCGACGAGCGTTCGCGGCCACGGCTAGTGGTGACCCCTGTTAGCCACGGGGATACGCTGACCGAGGAGCCGGAGGAGATGGACGGAAGTACCATTGACGGGCAAAGTCGTCGGGGAACCTCCATGCCCTCTATCTCTCGGACACCGGCATCTCCCACCGACACCGATGCCGACACTGAGTCCCAAAATTTTCAACCTCCGACGCGGAAGCAGCGCATCATTTATGCTCTTGGACGCACTTACCACACGCTCTTTCCCTCCCTCCAGCGCTTCCGAGGTAAAACTGTTCTCGGACAGATCGCTTCGGTCTTCGCTGCGCCGGCCGTGATGCTCCTCACCTTAACATTACCGGTCGTTGTAACGCCGTACCAATCCCACCACCATTCTCGCGAGAAGACACCCGATGAAGAGCCTAATCTTATCGATTTTGAAGAAGAGGGAATCGAGCGAATCCTCATTGCGGAGGAAGAAGTCGAGGAAGAGATGCATGGAATGTCGTACAATAAGTGGCTAACGGCTGCTCAATGTACTTGCGGGCCGCTGTTCGGTGCCGCCGTATTGTTCGGTGTGTATTTTCCTTTTCTTTGTCCGCCTTGCTGAACAACCGCAGGCGGAAATAAACACCAAACATGGGCGCTCCTCTCCGCTGGCATTGTTGGGTTTGCCGCATCGGTTCTCGTAGCACTGTTTGTGGAGAATGGCGAGCATCCCTCATTCCGCATGACCCGATGTTCGATGGGCTTCATCGTCGCCGTCGTGTGGATCATGGCCATTGCCGATGAAGTCGTAAAAGTGTTACAGGTATGATTGAGCCGTTCCTAAGCATTTTGACTGACGACTGTTCAGACCTTTGGTTTCATATTTGGGCTCTCTGATGCGATTATTGGCTTGACCATCTTCGCAGTCGGTAACTCGCTCGCTGACCTTGTGGCGAACATGAGTGTGGCGGTAAGTGCTGGCCTTCACCGGAGTAGAGACTGTACTTATCGCGACTAGGTCTTTGCTCCCATCATGGGCTTCTCTGCATGCTTCGGAGGGCCCATGCTCAATATTCTGCTCGGTGTGGGGATATCGGGATCGTACATCACTCACAATACCGGGGAGCCGTATAGCCTGCAGTTCGGCAGTACCCTCCTCGTCAGCACCATCGGCCTCCTCATCCTCCTTGCAGCCACCCTCGTCGTGGTGCCGCTGAATGGGTACCACTTGACACGGACTTGGGGCATAATCCTCATTGCCTCGTACACTTTGATAATGGCTATCAATGTCGTTGTTGAAGTGAAACATATATATTAACACACTCGTGGACTGTACTATGTAGGATAATAGACATTTTATTTTCCCCTAAAGGCGTACGACTCGAGCGGCATTTACGGTCGCGGCAAAATATCCGACCAATTAATCATTCAAGTCCTGTCGCATTCGGCTGATATACATAATACTGTCACCCCTCATGTGCTATCATCCTGTATACAGTATAGTGTACATCGTGGACTGAGTTTTCGGATTTGGATCGCTCATGACGAAGTCCAAGGGTCTAAGTATTTTCTAGACTCCCGATCTTCATCCGACTTTAGCTCAGTTGGAAGAGCATCAGACTGTAATTGGATAACGTAATCTCATCTGGGTGTCGCCTGTTCGAACCAGGCAAGTCGGATACCTTTTGGAACCTTTTTATCTCTTCCCTGGTTCCTGAGGAACCTGGGGAAGTCAGGGAAACTCGGCAACATGCCCCGATCACGACCTCTATTTTTACACTGGCCTTGCTAGTCGCTCCCTCCACGGCAAAAATGCACTAAGGCCGATAGGGGTCGCGGACTTCGTACTTTTTTGAATAGAGTTGCCCTTTAATTTTTGTGCCTTTAATTTTGCCTTTGACTTGTGATTATACAAAGTTTGCGCGAACGGTGTTTTTTTCTTCTTCTTTCGCCGCGCCGTATTGACTGCGTTGATTTAATCAGAGCCCGGTGGTATTCGTGCAGTGGTCTCCCTCTTGTATGTAATAGCGCGGACAATTTTTTGAAAGTAGATCGTTGTAAACTGCGGCAGTACGATTTTTTTCTGGGTGTTGATCGAGTTTGATGGCTCACCACTGTTCGTGAAATAACACTGATTCGGTTACAGCGTCTCGCATAACCCTCATAAATGGCTAAGGAAGTGAATGATAGAGCCGTAAGAATGGAGATCTGCTAAATATTGGATGCCTCGTTTACGTAGTCTTACGTTTTTTTTAGAGTATCTGCATGCCCGTTCACGGCAAAGATATGGATCCATTTCAATTCATAGCTTTTGCATTCAAAGCCAACTGAGTAAACAGTCGCAGTGAGCTTCTTAGGTTTCGCTTTAGCCATGTTGAAAACATGAGCTTCAACAAGCGTAGTTTAGGGCAACGAAACTACGCGCAGCGCAGGAGAACTCGAAATTCGTCAGCCAAAATCCCCACTCAATCCAGCCTCTCACATTCGTATCTCTGTTTGTCTAAATGGCAGTCCGGCAGTCCGGCAACCACCTTGACCATAATTTCCTAATTTGGCGTTGAGCGGTTGAGTCGGTCGGCCGGGACAAACAAAGCTCCAAGGTCGAAAACTCGCGTCCCGTTGGAATTACGTTCAGCGAACTTGGTTCCAAGTTGCCGCTTGCGGCCAGCTCCACCACCACCGCGAACTAGGACTCCTGAAAATACCCTCGTAGGTCAGGTCCCAAAAGTCCAAAATCCGCCAGTTTTTGTCGAATCTGGGTCATTTTTGTCGGGACGGTACCTAGCCAAAGGTGCCGTAAGCACTCCAAAAGGGTAATTTTCCCCTCCCACGAGCCGGAAAATCACAAAACTTTCTTCGGCTGTCCTTTCTGCACTATTTTGTGCGTTTTTCCGTGTTTGTCCAGCTGGAATAGTCGTTCCCGAGAGTTTTGCGCCATAAAATCCGCCAGAACATGCCTCGAAAGTTGGCCAAGATTTGGGCTTTTTGTCGGGACAGGACCTGGCATTTTCGCCGTGAACCTCAATTTTTGTCGGGACTGAACCTGGGTTGAAAGCCTCAAAACGTGAATTTTTGTCGGGACAGGGTCCTGGCCTACAAGGGTATTTTCAGGGGTCCTCGCGAACTTGCCTGGTTCGAACAGACGATAAAGTTCCATCATACGAATTTTTCGCCTGTTCGAACCAGGCAACTCGACACAGGAATTACTTCGACAAAAAAAGTCGAGCAATGTAGCATCTAGGAAACAATCGGACAGCAGTTGGAGATAATGTCCTCGGAAACAAGAATATGATACATCAACAAGATATTCTACATTACTGTACTACAACTCGGTCAGAACGGAGGATACTCGGAGATGGAGCGGCCGCTTACTTTAGAGGCCACCTCCACCAAGGATATACTCGATTGCAGAATGCACATTTCCAGCTGTCGCAAGAAGAGCGCGCACATTCTGGGAAGCGTTGGTGAATCCCATGTCCTGCAATTGCTGGGATGATATTATTTGGTGAATACGTTAAACTAGAGCGTACATGAGACAAACCTGCAACTGGACCTGGAATCTCTCCTCGGGAGGCCGCGCATCGGCTGGTGGTGGTGCAGGGGCACCGAGCCCGCCAAAAAATTGAGCCATCAGAGCCGGGTCCATTGCGTTAGCTGGCGGTGCACCGGTGCCTGCTCCAGCGGGTGGCGGCGCTCCACCCATCAGCTGAGCGAGTAGCATTGGGTCAAGGGCAGGGGCGTTGGCTGGCGGGGAACCGGTGCCTGCTCCAGCGGGCGGCGCTCCACCCATGCCCATAAGTTGAGCAAAAAGCGCTGGGTCAAAGGGAGGGGCGCCGCCACCAGGGGCACCAAACAGATTCGGGAAAGCGGGGGCTGCGGGGGCAGCCGGAGTGTTCGTAGAAGGGGTAGAGCCGGGGATACCAGGCGCAGGGAAGGCCGCACCTCCACCCCCACCCATTCCTCCGTTTAACACTGACGCCATTTGGAGCATCCGTTGCAGGTTTTCTGGGCTCGATCTAAGTGGGAATCAGATTTTCGCGTAAATTGCGGGCTGCTAGCGCGTACACCATCTGCCTGAAAGTCTCGCTCTGCATCAGATTGCGGGCCGCCGGTCCCATTCCCGCCATTTGTGGATTAGATGCTATTATTTGTTCCATAATCGCGGGGTTTGACATCATCGTAGACATTTGTTGGAGGAACTGGGGGTTGTTCATCATCCCTTGCAACTGAAAGAACGTCAGTTGACCTGCTCAAGCCCGACAGAGTCGAACATACCATGTTGGGATCGTTTGCGTTCAAGCCCATGTCTGCAAAAGGATTCAGGCCCGCCATGGCACCGAAGCCTGCGTGGCTATTGAGCAGGGTCAACGGATCGTGTGGGTTCTGGCCAGCTTGCATCGTCGGCAACTGTTGTGGGGCGGCGGGCTGCGCGGACGTCGATGCAGCACCGGAACGCACGGCACCTTTAACCATGTGGATGGTATGTGTGGATTGGATCTTGTAGACGGACAATAAATCGTCGTCCTTGGAGCATTCGTCAGCGTCTTGCCGCTCAAGTTTGGCAGAACTTTACCTTCAGAACTCGCCCTAGATGAACGCGTTAATCACAAAATTAATGCTTGATATACACTGGTCGCACCTGAATAGATGAGACGTTGTCTGTCGGCCTCCACATCTGACTTCTCCGCGATAGCCTGCTTGAGCTGAAGGACAGTTTTATCGGTCGTTATCGTGATCTGAAGCTTCAATTCGCTCGGCCCTGGCGTGTTTTAACGAGGTAGTTGCAGTGCACGGCGAAGGAGACTACCTTTAACATTTATCTGAATTTCTGGAGCTGGAGTTTCGTCGGACATGACAGTGACCACTTAGAAGGAAAGTGTTGTCGGTTGTTGTCATACAAAACGTCGACGAGCTTCGGCATCATTCTCTGACGTAAGTTACCGGCAATTCTTCCAACTAGATATTATTTCGCACAAACCCGCAACGATATGTAGTGAGATATGTGTTCAAGAAATTAGTAGCAAAGTCCAATGTAATCCGAGATCCGCGAAATGAAAGCATTGAATGATAGATAGATCGTGAGCGGGTCGTTATAGGTATTCATAAAAAATCAAAAGAGAGTGAGAAGAATTTACATCACAACACACCACTTCCCTTTCTTCTCCTCCTGATGGTGAGTTTCGGTCGTGGTTTCGGTCGTGGGAGAAGGCGCTGAGGGATGGAGGGAGGGGAGGGAGGGAGAAGTGGGTTTTGGAGCAGTGAATTCGCCTTGGGCGATGTCCATAGAAGCTCTGCCTTCCGGCACCTTTGAAAACCAACCTCCGGGGAAGAAAAGAGACGACGCTGTGGATTCTAGCCTCGAACGAGGTGAGATGGGCAGATCGTCTGGGTAAGTGTCTGCTTCTTCTGAAGCGTCCAGAGTCCTAGAAGAGGTCAAAATGTAGTTCAATGAAGAATTCTACAATGGGCTTACTTGGAAGTATCCACCATGAGCGGAAAGGCTTGTGGCTTCGAATCGGGAAGTGGGGCCATGGTACCGACCGGAGTTCCAGAGGCAACTGGGGTGTGTTCCTCCTCGACAGAGATAGAAACATCGGCGGGGCCATCGGTATCGTCCGTCGTCGCAGCTGCATGATCTACAGCCAGAATGGGAGCGGTATCGATGGACGCAGGTTCGGCTTCAGTGGGCGCCAGTTCAACGCTCGCGGAATCGTCGACCTCAGGAGGCTCGAGGCTTGCGTTCGGGGGATGGGCAGCATCGATGTCTGAGATGCCCTCTTGAGCAGAAGCATCCACCGGGTTCTCTTCGGTGCTCTCGACCGCGTGGACCGTTGAAATTGGGTCCGAGACGTCCTCAGTAACCGAAGTTTTATAGTCCGAAACATGCTCGGGAGCACGTTCTACAATCGCCTCAGCCGTAGCCTCCCCGTCTCCGGTTCCAAGATCAGGAGAAGGTGCCGAAAAGGCCTCGACGGGCTCGCGGCTTGGCGCCAGGTTTGCCATTGCATGGAGGATTGGGTCCGACTTGGCCAATTCTTCAGTAGCCGCAGGCGCCGAGTCGACACCGACATGAGGAGCGGGAGTGTCTTCAGCCGATGCAGACGTTGGCAGTTCAGAAGCGGGCACCTCGGGTTCTGGCGTAAAGCTTGGTTCGTCAACAGGAGGGGATGTCTCGTCTACTACTGCAATGGGCGTGGTGTTATCAGTTGCCTGAGGTTCGGTCGAGGTTTCTTGTTCAACTGCGAGATCAGGAACAACAAGCTCGGAACTAGACGGGTCGACGGGAGGATCCTCTACTGCGACAGCGCCTTCCGTGTCAGCAGCAGCTGCTGCCGGCTGCGGTGGCTCTGTGTATACAAGGTCACCCACAACAGCTGCAGCAACAGCGGCTTGAACCAATGTCGAGTCAAGATCGGGAACTTCGGCCGAAGTGGGCTCCGACTCGGCGATCTCGGCCTCATCCGGCCCGACGGATGTATCGTTTTGGAGAACGGCGGCAGCTGAGTCCGCAGCATCGTTATCGTCCAGACTAGACGACTCGTCTGCTTCCAGGGTCGGCGCAGCAATTTCTGCTTCACCTTCTTCGACCGTCGTTACAGGCTCCGCTGCAACTGCAACCACTTCAACCGCGTTCTCCGGGGTCTCCTCGGCAGCAGGCGTCAATTCAGCCGGGGCTGCA